GGCTATACAACTGATCACACTGAAAGGGCTGTAAAGCAAGAAAAAAAATATGGAAAGAGGCCAAAAAACCAATCTTGGGACCAAGAAATACACAAATAAATCAATTCACCAATGACCCTGGCAAAAAGTATGATGTTAAAACATGCTGCCAATACAGAAGACAACTGTGTCAGGAAGAATAGAATTACTTTTAGGACAGAATCATAGATAAGGACTTAAAAGGAAAAAAAAAAAAAATTAAAGACATAACTGCAACTTGTGAAGGTTTTAAAAGAAAAATCAGTGAGCTCAAACCCAGTCTCTCCAGAACGGGTCTAAAAGTTTAATGTGATTGGCCCACTGGGGCCAAGTATTTTTAATGCCAGTGGAGGCAGAAGAGTGTTTCATGCTGACACAAGAAAAAAAAAATACAAACTGGCCATGCATAAATGCTAGAAATTCAAGAAAAATCTCTTCATTAGAAGCAGTAGGCCTACACAGCTCTCACTGAGATAATGGGGCCACAAACTGTCTTCAGTATGCCCTTGCTGTATCAAAGAATTACATTTATGTAATACTCAACATTAAGCTCCTTGAGCCTTGTGAATAAGTCATGGGAGCTGTTTGGATAAAAGGTTTTTCCCCTCACACTGAAATATATAAAAACTTGTACTTACCAAGATGATTACTCACTTAGTATAAAACATCTTAAGCATTTTACCCCTCAATCCGCAGTTACAAGTAACAGTGCTGGGATCACATCAGTAATCTCTAAAAATGTTAGATTCCAGTCAATTCAATTCCTATATTTCATAGTTAATGAGCACTAATATCACATAATAGTTTTAATGACTTTTATCAATACTTACATAATTTAGGCATATGAGTATTTATAAAAAAAAACGACTTGTGCATCTCTTACACTAAGGAAGTATTTGGAATTAACAATTATGGACAATGGTTTATAAACATTTTCTGAGGCAGGAAGAAATTTTAAAACCCACATTCAACTTTATATGTGATATCACCATCCTGTCTCAGAGATTAAACTTAAGCCATACTTCAAAGGGAGCTAGAACAGTATTGTGTGTCATACCAGTATCTGTCTCAGTACAATGCCTACAGTTGCCCTCTAATGTGAGACTAGTTAAATTTGTTTTCCATTCCAAATACAACTTCATTACTTTTCCTAAACTTAAAGCTAAACCCTATCCATATGTCAGATACAAGGTATTTCATAATTCTGGTTTTAAGAAGCTATGGACAATGGTTTGCTCTAATTCCATCAGCATTACTGGAATAAAAAATGTGGACTCAAAACTGCAATGCTCTATTAGTTCCTTAGGTGAGTTAAAATACTTATCACTGCCTCCAGCCTTTCCCTTGTTTTTTACAAGATCCTTAGACCTAAGTAACTAGAGGATTTATAGATATGTATGTATACATATGTGGGTATATATAATATATCATTACACTTTGCATGAAAGCAGAGAAAATTTATAATAAATACAGGCCTTTTACCGTATCAACGGATATATGCTATAACATAAATTTTTCACTTAAATATAACTGCTGCAGGTTCTGGCAGGTCGTAAAATAACAGAGTAGGGTTTGATATTTAAAAACACAGTACAAGGTTACTCTTATAGTTCTGAATTTTTATAAACAGTGTTTCTAAAGCTTTCATGCAACAGTACACAAACTCTATCACAATGGATGGATCGCATATTTCAATCTAATCAACAGTGCCAGACATTAGGAATGACAGAAAGATACCAGTACTAATATTTTCAATCTTAACCATAGTAGAATACCACCTGAAGCTCTACTACCTTTGGACTTGCAAATGCAAGATGGAAAATGCTGGTTTAAACATTCACCTACAGGGAGCATACAGACCACATGACTGAAAACTCCTTTCTCCAGTGGCTGGTCAAGATTTCACACAGATTCTGGGGCACACTTTTCCAGGACATGCTTCTCAATGCTGACTTCCAGCCACCTAGAGCAGGGGCTGGGCTACAATGCTTTGTAGCTGCCTTTCCTACCTACACAACTACATGCCCTTCCCACAGAAACCAGAGAACAAGGAGGGACAGAGCATATCCCAATCTCATGGTGATGTGGAGCCAGGACACAGGCACCATGGTGCTCACTCAGACCAGGAGCTGGGAAGCATTCCTACACCCCAAAATTAGCCATAGCCTCATGAATTTACACAGTGTCACACAAACTCTGTACAGACAGTGGCAGTACATAGGATCATTTAGGTTCAAGTCCAGCCATAACTATCCTATAAGACCATATATTCTCTTCTTACAGCCTTCAGCTTCATCAGTCCCCAAACTGATCCTACAGACACAAGTTGCTTCTAACTCATGGCCCCGGTGTGTGCCTAAAGCAGGTCCATCCAGTGACTTGAATTAAGCAGTTGTTGTGTCACATAACCACGTATGATCCCATAATGGCAGTGTCGTCATGCATACACTCACTGAGTGCAAACCAAGGCTGCAGAGCCAATTGTAGTTCTGGTTTATCTAACTTCTAAGAGCTTGACTCCACAACATAATTAAGCAGTTGTTGTGTCACATAACCATGTATGATCCCACAATGGCAGTGTCATCATGCATACACTCACAGAGTGCAAACCAAGGCTGCAGAGACAAATGTAATTCTGGTATCTTCTAACTTCTAAGAGCTTGACTCCACAACATAAACAGTCCTCTTACAAGGCCTTGTTATTAATTTGTTTGGGGTTTTTCCTCTTATTGAAGGAAAGAGAAGGGGCAAAATGGAGGAGCACAACATAAGCTTGAAAAAGACAACACCATTGCAGGGTGCTGTGGAGATCCATCTGTCTGTCAACAGCTTGTATTAGAGAGTACTAGAGAACCTGAACTAAGAAATTAAGTATCAGTTTTTAATACTCCATGTACGGCAGTATGATGATATTACTGCTGAAAGCTCATTTTACCATCTTAAATATGTCTGATGTCTTCCAACTGAAGAGACAGATTCAGGGTTCTTCTGCTCTTTTCTGGAATCTACTATAATGCACAGAATTTAACCTCTTTATTATAAATTACCTCAACATATGTGCTGCAAACTAACCTCAGCCTTTGTTTTAACAAACAGTAAATGTATCTGCTCCTCTTTATGCACAATTTCTCTGTCCAGTTACTTCCAGTTTGCATCCTTCCCATTTCTGGCTCGTGTTCTTTCATTTTCATTCCTAGACAATTTCCACATACACTACTATCCTATGATCCTATCTTCACCAACTCTATACTCTGCCTGCAACAGCTTCTCTTCAGTAACAATTTACCTTTTCACTAGGCATAAAGGATGCACTTCACTGCCCTAGGTTACTCACATAAGCTAACTTCAGAGCTAACGGCAGTATCAATACACAGTTCTCTCCTAGTGAAATGTCACCTTCCTCCTCAAACACCCCTGAGGGTATGAATGTTTTGGGCTACACCTGAGGGTAAATCAGGAAAATCAGCTTACCAGCATTTTCCCTGAAAGCTGCAACAGTTAAATAGACAAAAGAAAACCATCAAGCAACCAAAAAACCTTGCATGATTTGATACCTGTATTTACCTGATGTGCAATGAACAGACAAGAATGAAAAGCATGTTTCTTTTTTCCACTCCTGTTTAATTATGTAAAGACAGTGGATTCTTAGGTTTAAAGTACTGCAAAAACATTTGAGATGACACCATACTTGATGTCCCTTGACACAGGCAAACATTTCAGCCAAAACCAGTTTTGTGTCTTCCTGTCTTTTCTAGATATATGGATTTAAGTACATTATGCATTACCATCAAAGCAAGGAAACAGAACAGAAATCAGTGTCAACTCCCAATGTGTTTAAACACTGCCAGTTTCAAGAAAGAAGGGCTCAGTTTCTACGTGGAAATCAAAACTGTTTTCCTACGAATGCTGCTTCCCTTGGTATTTGTCATAGTACAGAAGTCATGAAAAAAGAATATAATCTTGAAAGTTCTCAGATTTTCTCATCAAAATGTCAGAAAAGTAGGTAAAACCAGGCAAGCTATTTCAAACTCTTCTCACTACTCTGTCCCTTTTGCCACTTCATTGTCCTGTCAATTCACCCTTGTTCACATGAAGACAGCTCTGTCCTGGACATATTTGAACTCATTAGGAAAGAGCTCAAAGAAAATTCCTGTCTTTTCTTGTAGTAAAGTAAATATCAGTCAAATGTAAGATACTAGAAATTTGTTTAGACTTACAGAGATAGGATTTAGACTTCTAAGTCATAAATTTAAATCCTATATTCCAGAAATGTAGGGACTTGCCAGAAAATTTAATAGTAATTTTTAACTGCTCAACTATTGGACTTCAATCATTGAAAACATGGAAATCCTGGGAGCTCCACAGATAATTTTTCTTGTTAAGTATATATGATTAAAGGCCAGAGACTTTTAAAGGCCAAAACTGCTGTAAACAATAGAAACCATTTATAGCATAGTGCAGTTACACTCCTGCTGCCAGTACATGGATATTCCAATACAGGAAAATCTTTTTGAATATCAAGAAAAAGGAAATTGACACTATCATTTATTTTAGGCACTTGCTAGCTCAACAGTCCTTGAAGTGGCAGTACACACAAATCATAAGACTACTTCTCCAAGTTTGCCTTTCATCTTCTTAGAACAGATGTGGTGAGGCCAATACAAAGTGAAAAGCTGCTGCCTAACCATGTCTCCAAACATTGTTACTTGCATTTATGTAAGAATTCTGGTAAAAGTCTTCCATAACTTAAAAAAGCCTTACATAAACTATGTAATTCAAAAAAAGAAATTTAAAAATTAGTTTTAAACTTCATAGTATCATCACAGTTGTATAGCATGCTGAAAAGTGATTAGAGACCATATCATTAGTGCACAATTGCTGCATTAGATCAAAGAATCACAGGATTCACTTTGACTGTGGATTATAAATGGAAGTTTATACCACTAAAGAAAGGGAGACCATAGCCCAGCAATCAGACTTACCAGTCTTGGTCAGATACTGAACATGTGTCATCACTCCTTCAGTGTAAGCCCCTGGTTCATAGTTGTCCATCTCGCCCGAAACAATGTGAGCCACTCTGGAGGCGCGGCCCCGGATGGCGCCCGCCGCGCGATCGAGGCTGTCCGCGCTCTGCTCCCGCAGGGCAATGATACACTTGTTCACATCCTCAAGAATGTGGCTTTCTGCAAAGAAAACAACACCTGGTTTGAGATGGCACCTCTTAGACAATCAGACACGTTTTAGACAGAGTTGACTGCACTTTTTCTTCCCCTGTTGAAATGCACTGGCCAACATAGGCTTGCATAAAAAACTTACAATATGAAACCTACACTGAATCGCCCTTGAAATTCTTCAATTTTTTGACCCCTGGAATTTGAAGGTACAGTAATACTCTCCTATAAGCAACAGCAGCAACAAAATAGCGGTCAGAAAGCATTAGAAAGATATAAAATGCACACAACCTTACATATATAGTGAATATTTACAGAATGAAGGAAAAAGTCAAGGGATTAAAGCTGTTATTGTTGAAAACTTCTTAAGCCACTGTGACAAAACCTTCCATAATGAGATAAATCTCTGTTGACAAACAATTGCCCTAATGAATAAATTTACTTATTTTACATCAATATGTTAGGATGTTCAAGCTAAATCAAACTCTTACATGATTAGGAAGAGCAGTATTTTTTGCCTGGTACTGAAATTAAACTATTACTTATTGAACTATTGCAATAGGTGTCATTACTATGAAATGTATATTCGTTATGTATTTTCCATACAATTTTTATTTCTTCTTACTTCCAGTACTATATTTACTGTATTACTATGTATATTATTTGTTTATACACTATTTGTGACATTCAAATAAATAATGTGGAATTATATATCTATATACACATACATACAGTCTCTCTTATCAATATATTAACAGCATTACACGGCAATGGCTTTCCTACTACAGTTATATTATTTCATTGTGCCTTCTTGCCACACAATACTTCTCCTCTTCAGTTATCTCTGTCATTGCCTAGCAATAGGATTTCTCTTTTCTATTACCATGCTTTCATTCCTACAATATTCTTTCCCTTATTAGAATTTTCCTCTTTAGAATTAATCATCATCATAAATTCAAAGCTGCATTCAGGAAAGGGAGAAATTCTTGCTTGCATCATCTTTTCCACTCTGTGGCAATTAGTTTATCAATTCTAGTTAAATGATTTGCCACAACATAGCTGAAGCCTATACATTTTTATTTTACTAATTAAAACATACACACAACAGTCACTTCTGACTGTCCAACTATCCACACATTCAAAGTTTCACATTTCTTGCACAAAACAGAACACAAAGTTTGGGAACAGGCAGGAAGATGTTGCTAGTTTACGTGAAACACATAATGACACTGAACTGCTGAAAGTTAAAGTTTCTTACACACTAGTTCTTGGATGAGAGATTGAATGGGTTACATATGACCCTCCCAATAAAAATTTAAGAAAAAAAGGGCAACATGCTCAATATCATCCCATTACTAAATGGCTGAAAGATGGAATAAAAAATGACTATTCTTCCATAGCAGTTTTTAAAATAAAACAACCAAACCCCAGAGCAGCATATATCACAGTAATTGCTATCTTCTGACCATAGACAATATTTAAAATCCAGAGGGCTTCAATATTTGATAATATAAGACAAAGAAACACGTGGGACCTGAACAAGTGTATGCTGTACAGCTAATCAAAGAGGTACCTAGTGGTGTCCTTGCTAAGGAAGGGAGTTGAAGTAAGCCAGGTGTCTTCCTTACAGATCAGACAGGTTTATACCTGGCAGTTACCTCCAATGCAGGTAGAACAGAAAAGTTGCTTTTGCAGATTCTCTTTGACAGACTTTTTTTTTTTTTTCTCAGTATGGCAGCAGCTGCCCTACAATGTGAAATTCAGCTGCCTGACACTCTTCCACACTAAAATGCACAAAGCACTCAGTACAGAAGAGAAACTTAACTTCTCTTGAACTTTTCTTTGCTGTTTCGCTCAGCTCTATGTGAGCTTTACATCTGATGTAAAGGCATCACTGAAGGGAGCTTGAGGTTGATTTATGTCCAAGACAGCCCAAAACCAGAAATTATTATAAAACACAAATACAACACAGCCACAGCATATCAGCATTTCCAAGTCACTCATGCAAAATGTGAACAGTGGAAGAAGAAATATTTGGCTAGAGGAAAGCACTAGGAGAAAATGGTTGCTTCAAGACTGATGGAAGCATCTGTTGGGTTGACATAGTCAGAAATGAAAATGGTATTGAATTTCCTTTCCTACATAAACCTAAAATCTGCTTTCTCTCCCAGACTGTAATACAGGAACAACAGAAGTGCAAGATGTGAAGCAACAGACATGCTCTAATTTCAGCAATACCACTGTGAAAATTCTTTTGCATTAGGGCACAAAATAATACAGAGCTTACATATTTCTTGTTAACTCATATGACCGCCTTTCAAAATGTAATTTAATGCTGACATATTATGTTATACAATAAATTCAACAAGTATGGTAGTTCAAATAGTTGAAACACACTGTTAGGTAATCCTGAATTACTGAGCTAGGTCATCCCAAATTACTAATTGTGTCTGGGACTCTACCTATGCACAACATGCTGAACTCTGGTTCAGTTTATGAAACTGCAACATCGCCGAATGCCTCTGTGACTATGGAATGCCTGTATCCTTTCAGGTATGTTACCAATCTCCAAGGCCAGCAGGAAACAAAAGGTCTACTCGTGGTGGCTTTGTTATCCCTGTGTGTTCAGCCTCTGCGTGCTCTGTGACTACGCCCACGGACACTCACAGGACTGGCAACTGTTTCAGTTCCATCCATGCCAAACACATGAAGCTGTGAAGGCAAGGGGAAACGACAAGCTGTGCAAAGATGTCCCAGGGACTAGTCTGTGCTGCCCATGTTAGTGTCTCGTCTTTCTTTTTTCAAGCATCTCCTTTGTACTTTCCCCAGGGGGAAGCTTCCAAACAGACCAGCTTGTGAATGTGCACAAGGCTGAAAAAGGCTGAAACACTGAAGGAAAGAAAGGGATGATGTGGACAGAACGCAGGAGGACAGACTAACAAAATCTCACTTTGGCTGCCATAGTTATGTCCAAAAAAGTAGTACAGGTCACCATTGCATTAGGTTTAATACTGTCCAAGTGTTAACAGAGATGATCACAAAATGGATTGTGCAACCTCCACTTCAAGGGGCTTTGTGTGAAGAATACACTGCCTTTTAACCATTCAGCAAAGACAACAACTGAAGCACTTAGTCCTGTGCAAATAGAAAGGTAGGGCTGTTCTGACACGTACCTAGTGAAATCTCCATAAAGGAAAAAACCAGTTAAATAGTTATCTTGTGTGATACGAATCTCAGGTAAATTCAGAAAAAAAAAAAAAGAAAGATACTGCATGTGGCCTCATGAAAATACTGTATGAATGCAGCACATGATGGACAGCTCCCAGTTTCCAAACTTTCCTAAGAAATGTTAAAAATAACACTTTGATGGAGAAAGAAAAAGCAAACTTGAGACCAGATGCTCAACAGAAATGCAATTAGATCTGTACATTGTGTGCTGAGATCCCAATTAGCTGCTTCCTTCCAAATCAGTAAAACTACTTTTAAGTCATTGTAGAATCTTAACTATCAAAGCCCATAATACTATCAGGGAATATAAATTACAATGCCACATATCCTTCCAGATACTGTGTTTCAAAGAAGACAATGATGGGCAGACATGAACTGTATGTTGTCCATCTATCTTGTACTACAAAAGATGTGCAATATCTTTTCATCCACACATCATCACGTGTAAGGAGGGGTCAGTTGAGACTGTGACAAATGCCATACTTGTGTCAAAAACTCAGCAGCTCTTGGCAACATGACAGAATGCACAGACAATATGTGCACTCCATAAGCATAAATGACCTTGACCCCTCATACTATATAGCAGTATATCCATTGCCAACACACAGTCTCTGTTCTGAAGCTCTCCCCAGATGAGGTACTTCACAATCAATAAACCTGGCTTAACCTAATTTTCCCAAGGCACAAACAAGCTTATATATTTGCCTTAGCACACCTAACAGAAAAGGAGAGAAATCAGCACTGATCATAGTCCAGCTGAGATTGTTTTAACCTGTATCCTTCCTGCAGATGCTTCCTCCTCCCATACAAAATGCATTAGATAAACTTTTGGTTTTCATCCAAATAGACTACTTTCCAAAGCAGAGAAGGAAGATTAGGATGATGTACCATCTCTTTGTCATGACTCAGTGTCTAGTGTAAGAGCTAATTTAACAGCAGATTGATAGATGTTTAAAGAAATTGTCAGATTGCCATGGTCACCACAGCAATTATCACAAGTGGTGCACTGCACCTTCTGATCTGTCTTGGGGATCTTTGTGTTAGTCGTACTGGCCAAAAATCATATCTCAGCTGAGCTAACCACTGGCTAATAAAGCTGTCTTTGACAAAACCATGACTCAGACTATCTCTGGACAAAATCAATCGCTCTCCCCTTGCATGTCATCCGAAGCAAGAGACAGGTGATGCCCTTCCACATCACTTGGCACTGATAAGGCCTCAGTTGAAGCACTTTTCATTAAAGTTTCTCTACTGAGTACAAGAAAATTGTGGATTACATGGAGACATTACAGAAAGAAGAACATTATTATTACAGATATAAGAAATATAGTATATGGAGAAGCATTAGAAATCTCAATTTGTTTGCTCTCCTGAATATGGAAAATACAACATACTTTTCTGCAAGCCCTAAACTATAAAATTAGTTGTAGAAATGTATGCAGTAATAGTTTATCCTGACCAAAATGATTTGTGTCTTTTACCACCTGTTGCCATGATAAAATGGAAAGTGAAGAAATTTTGTACAAAATGCCAACTTCCTTTCAGACCACTCCTACTCCCTGGATGTGGTACATTAAAGTGCTACTTAGAAAAGGATTCCAAGTTCTCCAATAATGGCACTACCTAGCATGGCAAAAGATGTGCTCCCACAGGCTCATAATGCTTTGTGGACCCCAGAAAGAGATTTGAAAGCAAAGAATTGTTAATAATACCCATACGTATATTTAGCAATCCCTGGTGCTGAAGTTAAGAGAACATGACCACTAACTGGAAGTGCAAGTCCC